TGTTTTTTGCGATTGATTTTGTTCTGTAATTTGATTGGTTTTTGGTTCAGATCTGATGAAGTAGATTGATTGATGAATTTTTTTCATGTTATGATGCTTGATTATTGGGATTTTAGATTGTTTTACGATTTTTATGCTTTTTTTAGTTCATGTTTCGTGGATTGATTGCTTCATTTTTATATGAATCCTCGTATATCGAAGTTATTGGATTGTTGAATTGAAAAATTGGATAAAATGATTTATGATTAAAGATTTATAACAGAGTTTTAAGTATTTCATGTGTTTAGCTGATGAACATGATTTAAAGTTTAAGAATTTCATGGAGTCCGAATCCTGTGATCTTGATTCATTAATTGATTATAATGCATTACCTGATTACTGATTTGACTTAAAGGTTTAAGAATTTCATGATTTAGGGTTTTTTTTTTTTTTTTTTGACTTTTTAGTTTTTGTTTTAGTGTGTAATAATTTGTTCATGTCTGCCAGTACCGTAAGTATTAGGCGTAGTGATAAAAAACCTGTGTAAGATAAAGTGCTTGCTACCTGTTGTCTGATGGAAGTATTGAATAAATGATATTGATTCAATGTTGATTGTGAAGTGACCGTTTATCTGTGAGTAGGCTTGCTGAATTGCTGATATGCAATGGCAATTTGGTGGTATGGAATTTGTAAATAACAGAATTTGTGTCACAATGTTGTAAAAATTATATGCATAGTGATTGAACTTGAGGTGTCAGATGTCGAGTGTCCTTTATTTCGTTTGGATGCGATGTGGTCATTTGATTTGTTGTATTTTATTTGATTGTTAATTCAATGATCTTTGATTTTTCAGTTTATACTCTATAAGTCAATATGGGTAAGGAAAAGATTCATATCAGTTTGGTGGTCATTGGCCACGTCGACTCTGGAAAGTCGACCACCACTGGTCATTTGATCTACAAGCTTGGTGGTATTGACAAGCGTGTGATCGAGAGATTCGAGAAGGAAGCTGCTGAGATGAACAAGAGGTCCTTCAAGTATGCATGGGTGCTCGACAAACTTAAGGCCGAGCGTGAGCGTGGTATTACCATTGATATTGCCTTGTGGAAGTTTGAGACCAACAAGTACTACTGTACCGTCATTGATGCCCCCGGACATCGTGACTTTATCAAGAACATGATTACTGGTACCTCCCAGGCTGATTGTGCTATCCTCATTATTGACTCCACCACTGGAGGATTTGAGGCTGGTATCTCCAAGGATGGTCAGACCCGTGAGCACGCTCTTCTTGCCTTCACCCTTGGTGTCAAGCAAATGATCTGTTGTTGTAACAAGGTATAATCTAAAACTGTTGTGTAGTCCTGCAATATGTTTAGTCCTCTGATATTTTTTGGAGTTTGATTTTGTTTTCCTTGTTTGTGCTATTCTAATCATGTCCTGTTTCTGAAATAGATGGATGCCACCACCCCCAAGTACTCAAAGGGAAGGTACGAAGAAATCGTCAAGGAAGTCTCCTCATACCTCAAGAAGGTTGGTTACAACCCAGACAAAATCCCATTCGTTCCCATCTCCGGGTTTGAGGGTGACAACATGATTGAGAGGTCTACTAACCTTGACTGGTACAAGGGACCAACCCTTCTTGAGGCTCTTGACTTGATCAACGAGCCAAAGAGGCCCTCAGACAAACCCCTCCGTCTTCCACTTCAGGATGTGTACAAGATTGGAGGTATTGGAACGGTGCCAGTGGGACGTGTTGAGACTGGTGTGTTGAAGCCTGGTATGCTTGTTACCTTCGGTCCCACTGGACTGACCACTGAAGTTAAGTCAGTTGAGATGCACCACGAGTCCCTTCCAGAGGCTCTTCCCGGCGACAATGTTGGGTTCAATGTTAAGAATGTTGCTGTCAAGGATCTCAAGCGTGGTTTCGTTGCTTCTGACTCCAAGAACGACCCTGCTAAGGAAGCTGCTAACTTCACTGCTCAGGTCATCATCATGAACCACCCAGGACAGATTGGAAATGGTTATGCTCCAGTGTTGGATTGCCACACTTCTCACATTGCTGTTAAGTTTGCTGAGCTTGTCACCAAGATTGACAGGCGTTCAGGTAAGGAGATTGAGAAGGAGCCTAAGTTCTTGAAGAATGGTGACGCCGGTATGGTTAAGATGATTCCCACCAAGCCTATGGTGGTGGAGACTTTCGCAGAGTACCCACCCCTTGGTCGTTTTGCCGTGAGGGACATGAGGCAGACTGTTGCTGTCGGTGTCATCAAGAATGTTGAGAAGAAGGATCCAACTGGAGCCAAGGTTACCAAGGCTGCCTTGAAGAAGAAATAGGCTGTTTGAGCTGTCTGTTTTTGATATTTGAAGGATTTCAATGAGCTTTTAAAATTGGTGTAAAGACTGAATTTTGGCATTTGACAATCGAGGTTCTGCAATTGTATCGTTTTTAGTTGTAGTGTCATGACTGTTGTATGGTGCTGATTATCTGAATTATGTGCTGATTGACATCGACAAATGTTTTCCTTTGAAATTTATTTGCCTTCAAAATTTTCCTAGTTGATTCAATCCTTGAGCAGCTGCTGTCTAGCCTGTGTGCGTGTGTATATCATTTGCTCTTGTGTTGGGAGTGTATTTGCAGGAATTTGTTGATCCAAGTGAGTTAATAATCTGATTGGAGCTCTATTTATTTGGACATGATGAATCAGGTTACCCTGAAAACCTTTTTTTGGGCCTTTTGGCCCATTTTGGCTTGTCCAGGAACTAACAAATCGTTTACTTTGCTTCAAGGGTTTTATACTAACAATGAGTTTACTTTGCGTTATACTAGAACTTTTTTTTTATTGATCTTAAAACTAGAGCTTTTTTTTTTATTTTTTATTTTAAATAATACTCATGCTATTACTGTTATATGTTAAAATTTATTATTAAGACATAATCTCTCACTTTCGCATTAGTTGTAACACTTTTTATTTTCGGCCGTTTTACATTAGTTGCAACTTGCAACACTATATATAGAAAGGACCCATTATTATTTTATTGTTTCTCTATTCCACTAATCTTACTTTCACAAATATTTTATTCGGAGTATTTCTCTTTTCTATCAACCCCACTCAGGCACCCACACTACTTTTTTTTTTTGTTTATATAATTATTTTAATCACTTACTAACAATATTTTATATTATAAGTGTATAAGCTTAGTCTATAATTTTCTTAAACTATTAACCAAGTCTACTATTGCGAAATGGAGGGAACAACACGAAAAGATGGATCTTATTTCCAAGGAGTGAATGGAACCATTTTATTAAAAGAAACTCATCTAATTTACATCTGAGTTTTAAAATTATTTTCTCCTTGTGACAAAATTAATAATAATAATTTTATTTAGAGGGAAAAAATTAAATAAATAACTGAAGCAACGAGTCTCCATACAAAACAAATATTCACAAGAGAGCAAAGACGCATTATACTCCGTAGCATCCATCCTCGATCCTCCCTTTCTCTCTCCAAAACGTTCACAAGATTTAAGCTTTTTAATTTTTAGGAAATTTTGTTTTTTACCACCTCACAAAACACGAAAATTGCTTTTACCACCTCCCAAAAAAAAAAGTTTTACTTTACCACCTCATAAAAAACACGAAGATAGGTTTTACCACCACATAACGGTTTCCATCCAAAAATTCTGTTACGTGTGGCCCACATTAACATGTGTCAGTATTTTATTTGTTAAAAAAAAGAGAAATTAAATAAATAAAAAAACCTAAAACTACCCCAGGCGCCACCCCTGCGCCACCGCCGCCTTCCCCCCAACTCACCACAACCCTCCCCAAAACCACCACCCGCGTCGCACCACCAGCCCCAACCCAACTGAACCCTCCCCCTCCCTTTCCCACAACCATATCGCCCCTAAAAACCACCAAACCCAAAACCCTCGTCCCCCCCACCCCTAAACGACCACGAATTCGGCCTTAAAAGGCCTGTTAAGGCCACTAAGCCCCAAAATCGGCCGCTTTCGGCTATTTGTGGCCAGATTGTGGCCGTTTTGGGGAACGAGGGTTTTGGGTTTCGTTGTTTTCGAGGGTGACGGGGTTGCGCGAAAGGGAGGAGGAGGGTTCAGGTTGGTTGAGGCTGGTGGTGCGAGGCCGTGGTGGGTTCGGGGAGGGCAGTGTTGGGTTGGGGAGAGGGCGGAGGTGGCGTTGTGGTGGTGGCTGGGTAGTTTTAGGTTTTTCTTTATTTTTTAAAATTTTTTTCTTTTTTTGGCCAATAATAACACGACACGTGGCTTTATGGCCCACTTAACGGATTCCTAAACGGAATCAGTTAAGTGTGGTAATACCAAATTTTTGGAAATTTATCTGGTGGTAAAGTAAAACTTTTTTTTTTGGGAGGTGGTAAAAGCAATTTTCGTGTTTTTGTGAGGTGGTAAAAAACAAAATTTCCTAATTTTTATTATTCCATAAGTTAATCAATCAAATATTTCTCTTGTGTTTCTTCAATTCAGGGTTTCTCATGTATTTCCAAATATTTGGTTTAATCGTAAACAGTTTATGATTTGGGTGCAGATTATGAAATTCGCAAGTTTTTGCTCTCTAATAAGTTGTTAATACTCTGATATGAATATATGATATAACAAGTACGTAGTGTATATGTTTCAAAAAAAAAAAAAGTACGTAGTGTATAAATATTCAATTAATGTTGCCTAAGATATTCAATTAATTTAGGCCTAATTGGTACTCCGTATTTACTAACGAGTATTTAATTAATAGCTATGAATATATGTTGTGATCTTGTTTTCGACTCTTGTTAATTAAAGAGAATTAATTGAAACCAATTTGTGCATCTTTAGTAGAAGTAGATCAGTAATAGACTGTGTTATAAAGGCTTTCGGTTTGCAGTCTGCATCTCCTTGGGTCATACGGAGTCTTAACGTTCAAGGTTTTAACACGAAGAGCTGATGTTACTTCACAATCGAGCCATTTTCTAGCCTCTAGCTATTTCGGTTTTGCTATGTAGGACAATATATAATTATACTCCGTATATCGTTAATTCGTAATCATAATAGATGGAAACATAGTTCCATTTACACTCAAATTCATTATGGATTCCCCTGTGTAAGAGGATATCCTATTGTTTTTCTCGCAAACATAGTTTATAAATATGAAAAAAGACTAGCATTGCAGATCAAAACCTTACCACCGACGATCAAGCACCCAATTCTGTGAATAGGTGTTTGATGTTGGTGATGAGACTATTCTACAATAAACAAAATAAAGACCAAAGCAAAGCACATAAACACTACTAACTGAGACTATCAAGTCTCTATAGAAATCATATACCGCGAATAATGCAGACATTGTTCATTTCTTCTTGAGGGCAGCCTTGGTGACCTTGGCACCAGTTGGGTCCTTCTTCTCAACACTCTTAATGACACCAACAGCAACAGTCTGCCTCATGTCCCTCACAGCAAAACGACCGAGTGGGGAGTAATCTGCAAAAGTCTCCACCACCATGGGCTTGGTGGGAATCATCTTAACCATACCAGCATCGCCATTCTTCAAGAACTTAGGCTCTTTCTCGAGCTCCTTCCCAGATCGCCTGTCAATCTTGGTCAGAAGCTCAGAAAACTTGACAGCAATGTGAGAGGTGTGGCAGTCCAGCACTGGAGCATAACCATTTCCGATTTGTCCAGGGTGGTTCATGATAATGACCTGTGCAGTAAAGCTAGCTGCCCCTTTAGCAGGGTCGTTCTTGGAGTCAGAAGCAACATAACCACGCTTGAGATCCTTGACAGAAACGTTCTTCACGTTGAAACCAACATTGTCACCAGGAAGAGCCTCTGGAAGCGACTCATGGTGCATTTCAACAGATTTAACCTCAGTGGTCAGTCCAGAAGGACCAAAGGTAACAACCATATTGGGCTTCAAGACACCAGTCTCAACACGCCCTACAGGCACAGTTCCAATACCTCCAATCTTGTAGACATCCTGAAGTGGGAGACGGAGAGGCTTGTCTGAGGGTCTTTTTGGCTCATTGATCAAGTCTAAAGCCTCGAGAAGGGTTGGCCCCTTGTACCAGTCCAAGTTGGTGGACCTCTCAATCATGTTATCACCCTCGAACCCAGAGATAGGAACAAATGGAATTTTATCAGGGTTGTATCCAACCTTCTTGAGGTATGAAGAGACTTCCTTGACAATTTCATCATACCTAGCCTTCGAGTACTTAGGAGTGGTGGCATCCATCTGTTACAGTAAACAACCTAAAAGTCAGAATCAACCAATTCAGATACCAAATTACATGATCATTAATATTCATATATACCTTGTTACAGCAGCAAATCATTTGCCTGACACCAAGGGTGAAGGCAAGAAGAGCATGCTCACGGGTCTGGCCATCCTTGGAGATACCAGCCTCGAAACCTCCAGTGGTGGAGTCAATAATGAGGATAGCACAGTCAGCCTGGGAGGTACCAGTAATCATGTTCTTGATAAAGTCGCGATGTCCAGGAGCATCAATGACAGTGCAGTAGTACTTATTAGTCTCGAACTTCCACAAGGCAATATCAATAGTAATACCACGCTCACGCTCAGCCTTAAGCTTGTCAAGCACCCAGGCATACTTAAAGGATCTCTTGTTCATCTCAGAAGCTTCTTTCTCGAATCTCTCAATCACACGCTTGTCAATACCACCAAGCTTATAGATCAAATGACCAGTTGTTGTCGACTTACCAGAGTCGACATGGCCAATGACCACCAAGCTAATATGAATCTTCTCCTTACCCATAACGACTTAGGAACTGTCAACCTGCAGTTACAGAACATTAACTCAGACTTCAAAGACACCAACAACCAAAAATTTCTTTAACATCAAATCCATAAATCATCAATTTCACCGCGAAATTTTACTTTTATAAAAAATGATCCCCTAAAGTCAGGGAACACCATTTACACCTCAAAAATGGTGTTTGTTACAACACAATTATATTGTTCATTTTCAACAGGTTTCTAAACATATAGTCGCAGCAATAATTCAACATCAAAAGTACATATTCGGAGCCAATTTTTACCAAAATATAATCACTCATCATATAGCCAAGACATTAATTTTGTACAATCAAACATGAAAAATTTTTAGACACAGAAATTAGCAAGCTAAAATGACTATTTCTTTTACAATCATACATTCATACTATATTGCTGTTTTAATCAAAATTATCAACTTAAAGTGAGTATGTTATACTCAAAGTAAGCATATAAAAACAAAATTACCAACAAAAGCAAGTATAATTCAATTAAATGTACATATCAGAAGCCAATTTCCAAAATAACCAAATATATAATCACACATCATATAACTAGTTCCATAATATTGAAATTGAAGTTGATTAACTACAACGAGTGTTAATTACTCCCTCTGTCTCTAATAATTCTTGTTTTGACGGTAATTGTCTCGCAAAAACAGTCAAATATGAAGAACTTTTAGAGCCAGAAAGAGTAGGGAGCTAAAGTGACTAAATTTCTTACAATCACACTGTATTACTGTTTAAACCAAAACTATCTCAAAAACCAAAACACCATGAAACTGTCATTAAAAAGAGGATCAAGTTTGATTAACGATCTTTCTTTAAAAAAAAAAAAGTTTACTTAACAATCAAAACATATCAACAGTACTACCTCCGTTACAGGATACGATTTGCAATAAAGCAGACAGGGAAAATGTCTAATCGTTACACATAACCTGTAACGAAGGTAGTAATTAAAATGAACAAAAGAGATCAAAACCAATTATAAACATAAGACAATTCTAAAAAACATAAACAGATTCAAAGCAACACAAATAACTTAAATCAAACATGATCAAACTTCAAAATCATAATCATTAGAAACAAATGATTGAACAAATAGAATTAAAAAAAAAAGGAAATAGTAAAATGACCTTAGAGGAATCGTAGAGGAAAGAGAAAAGAGGGAACAACAAAAAAAAAAGAATGGAACAAAAAAAATGTGGAAACGATGATTATAAAGAATAGAGTGGGTACACTAAGTGAGTAGTGACCTTTCCATATCAAAACCTAAACAACAATAAAAAGCAAGGAAATTTTGTGAGTCCAGATATTTTTATAATGTTATGAAAATGACTGGTTTTGATTTCAATTTGTACGGAGTACATTATGATGTTTTTATGAACAAGGGAGGTTCATTTGCTTGACTTGGTCATCTCGAATATCGAGGAGATTTTTCGCCAATCAGTTTTTATTAGTTGTCTTTCTTTGAATAATAAGGCGGGTAAAGTGGAATTTATTCTAGAACAAAACTCAACTTTTGTTGTTTGTTGATTGCTGATTAGTTATCAATTTGCCTTGTTGATTACTGATTAGTTAGCAATTGTCTTTCTTTGGGTGATTTGTTATTTTTTCTTGTAATGATGCTTTCTTATTTGCGTCAATTTATTGGTCTTGTAAAACATTGATCTTTCTTTAAATGGTGTTAAACATATATAGCAATTCTTCATATTCAATTACATGTAAACTAATTAATTAACATGCATTATATCCTTTTTTTTTTAAAAATAATAATAAAATAAAAAAAATACATGTAATACCATTCTAAATTATGGAGGCACAAATGAACCATCAGATCAATATTTAACTACCTAGCATAAGACGTGAATAATGAAGAAGTTTACACTAACCTCAAGAGGTTTGAGTAAATATTTTGATATTAACTTGACTAAAAAGCAAATCAACCAATGGAATCTCATATTCAAATATAGGAAGTCATACATATTACACAATCGTTGAACCAAAATAATACAAATAATAGCATTAAACATATATAAGCCATAATTAATTCACAAAGTTTCATATGTGGCTGGCCACACCGTGTAGCCAACCACAATTTTTTTTTATTTTTTAAAAATTCTTTCTCTCTCCTCTCTATTCTCTCTCTCTCCTTTTTTCTTCTTCTTCTTCAAGCCAGAGCCTTCATCTTATTTTCTCAGAGAACGTAACACAAATTTCGCAATCGTCATCAATAGTCGTCTTCATGGTCGTTCGTCGATGGTTCGTTCGTCGGAAAATAGTGGTTTCTCTGGGAGGGTAGTGGTGGTTTGGTGACTCCGTCGTCGGAAAACAAGTTCAAAGTTTTTAAGGCCAAATTCAGCCATGAAAACTCTATATCTAGAATTTTCATGGTCGAATTTGGCCTTTTTAGCCATATTTGAAGTGATATTCGAAACCATTGTTAACATTTTAAGGTATTTGTTTGATTTGATTTTTTTTTAATGGTTTGGTTGGATCGGAGTTTGTTTGTGGGTTAGGGGCTAGTGGCAAGGCGTTTAGGTTGGTAGTGGTTTGTTGGTGGTGGTTGTTGGTGGTAGTTTTTTGTTGGTGGTGGGTAAGGGGTTACTAGGTGGTCCGGTTAGGGGTTACTAGGTCGGCGGTCAGGGGTTACTTGGTCGGGGTTACTAGGTCGGTTAGGGGTTACTTCGGGTTACTAGGACGGCGGTCAAGGGTTACTTGGGGTTAATATATAGGTCGGGGGTTACTAGGTCGGTTAGGGGTTGCTTGGGGTTACTACGGGTTACTAGGTCGGGGGTTACTAGGTCGGTTAGGGGTTACTACGAGTTACTAGGTCGGTTAGGGATTACTAGGTCGGGGGTTACTAGGTCGGTTAGGGGTTACTTGGGGTTACTACGGGTTATTAGGTCGGTTAGGGATTACTAGGTCGGGGGTTACTAGGTCGGTTAGGGGTTTCTTGGGGTTACTACGGTTTTAGTCGGTTAGGATTACTAGGTCGAGGGTTACTAGGTCGGTTAGGGAGGGGTTACTAGGTCGGGGTTACCAAGTCGCTTAGGGGTTACTAGGTCGGGGGTTATCAGGTCGGTTAGGGGTTACTTGGGTTACTAGGTCAGTTAGGGTTTACTTGGTCAAGGGTTACTAAGTCAGTCAGGGGTTACTTTTGTCTTGGGGTTACTTTGTCATTTGCTGATTTGACAACCTGCCGCATGGTGCGGCCAGTCGCACCAGAAACCCACTGTAATTAATTTGGGGTGATTTATTATACATGTAAAATACGACCCAAGATGCAAAATGTATCTATTACATGCCAAATAAGATATAGTAAACAAATACTCACCTTACACTATCTTACCTAGTAAAATGTTTCTCCAAGACTCCAAGAGGTTTGACAGTTTAGTGTATCATTTCCTTATTTGGTCTAATTTATAAGGATGACTTTATAAAATACATATAGGTTACAAATTAAATGGGTCAAAGTAATTTAAAAATAATATTGTAATTATTCTTCTTTCAAATTGAGCCCAAAATAAATATAACCGGTTACAAAACTTTATTTAGTTGATGAAAATTGATTTAATTATACAATTAATTTATTATACACATATTTAACATGTATATGTAATTGGTTATGTGGCAATTTGATGACGTGGCTTGATAAGAAAAAGAAAGTGACACGTGTCGATATGATACTCCTTGCCTTGAGTTTTAATAATAAGTAGTGTGCGGCCCGCGCGTTGCACCGAGTTACCACTTTGATTAAATTTTTATTTATGAAATATATTATCATCTTTTTAGACAAAATGAAATATATTATCATCGATTATGTATGGTATGCATAAATACTAAAAATAATATTACTAATTGATAAAGAGCATAGAAAGATAATTTTTAACACTCTATTGTTTATGAATTGTTGATTTTATTCCTCTTATATTTTTTTTCAAACTGCTTATCTCGTATTTCATTTTTAATTGATGCATGTCATTTATATTTATATTTATATGTATAGATGACATCAGTTGGTAATGGTTAAGATGGTAAAGAAATATATCTTGTTTCCTTGAGGTCTAGTGTTCGAAACCCATCAAAAGCTTTTTAATAATAGTTGGAATGATTTGTTAATTGGTAATGACGTGTCATTAAGTGATGATATGGCACAATGCTATAAGAGAGGAATGACGTGGCACATAAACGATTTTAGGAACGCTTTTTAATATATAAAATAATAATAATAAGTATAGACTAGTGCGTCTTGCATTGCTAGTTTGTACTTTGTACTTCTTTAATTTGATAATTATGTTCAACTGTTTTGTATAGCTAGTGACACGTGTCGATATGATACTCCTTGCCTTGAGTTTTAATAATAACTAGTGTGTCTCTTGAGTGATGCCCTGCATTGCTAGTTTGTACTTTGTACTTTAATTTGATAATTATGTTCAATTATTTGTATAGCTAGATTCGGAAATTGCCTTGGATGTTACGGTTTTTTTTTTTTTACTCATATGGATTTATTTTCTAATCTTGTGAAGAAAAAATAAATTAAATAACCTCTAATTTGAAAAGAATATATAATGTTAATTATGTGAAATTTAAAACACTAATAAAAGTTGGTTGAGATGATAAGTGTGTAAGCTTTATTTGTTGGAGGTTGGGTTTGAATCTAGATCAAACCATAATTATTTATTTTGTTAAATGAAGTTGCAAACTTACATATCGAATGTATTTTGAATAATGACGTGGCATTGTGACATGGTGTCATATACGTTGAATAGTGTCACGTGGCACCGTTCATTTCCTTTAAAAGGAACGCCTTTTAATAGATAGTATATAGATGTCCCATAGTATATGTATTTTGTTTTCCGTAACACATTTAAACTGTTAGCTCTTAAAAAATCTAGAAAGACTAAGCTTTTAGCTATAAATTACTCTAATACTTAGAATAATTAACCCATTTTAAATTTTTAATAGAACACCTTACCTAATTAAGGGTCTTTGATGTTCACCTTATTTTCACATATTTCAGGTTTCATAAGTTCTGATAAATCTAGTTAAGTTCAGATAGGTTCAGTTTAGGTTTAATAAGCTTTGATAAGGGTTACCCAAGTATAAATTAGAACTAAAATAGGTTTTAATAAGGTCTAATAAGTTCACATAAGTTTAGATAAGTTCAAATAAGTTCAGATCAGTAAAAATCGGGTGAATAAAACACACCTAACTCCAACATTGATTATTGTGGATACTAACCACAAAAATGATATCAGAAATATTACAATATGAGAATTCAAGAAATAATTATAAAAAGTAATAATAAAAGAAGAAAATAGGAAAATCTTTATGTTATGTCTTTTGGAGAACACAAAATAGAGTCCAATCAAACCCCCCACCCCTTCTTAAAAAAGGAAGAATACCCGCTAATCAAAAATGATTATTGTAATATGAAAGAGTATATTAATTGGTCTTCATCGGCTTACACTTTTTGATATAGTATAAATCATATTCATGGGCCTCAACCCTTGAGATGATCATTTAACATGGTATCAGAGTCAATGTGACACAAATGTCGCGAGTTTAAGACTCAATCACCCCCACTTCCATGTGGATTATTTCACGGTATGTATGAGTGGCCCATACCATATCCCAATATGCTCTCATGAGAGGGTTGTGATAGAATATAAAACATATTGTTAGGTCTCAATAATTAGGTTTGTACTTTGGTTAATATGATTCTTTAATACTTTTGGTTGAATTCATCCTCATACCCATTTGTTGAGTTGGTCCTTAACAATTATCATGGGCCTCCTCATACCCATTGCAAAATTTGGTTGAATGGGCTTGGTCCTCTAACACGAAACAACTTAGCTTTTTTGTTAAATCGATCCTCTTATATGAAATTATTCTAGCTTGACAGGATGTGAACCCTATACACAATACTATCTTACACGTCATCTAATTAGCTGGGAGATCTTGAAATTTTGGTAACAAAATCATGAATTCCCTCATATGTTTTATGTTACCACTATTATTTGAATTGCCAGCCTCTAAATCTCTAGCTATATATAGATTGCATATATTGCTAAAATCCCAAATTTCTTACAAAACACTTTGTTTAATTAATTTCAACCATGTCTAGTCCAAAAATTGACTCTGAAAGGGCTATGAAGATTGAATTAGGACGAAGAGCAGTGAAGAAATTTTTTGATGAGATGAAAAAAGAAGATCATGAAGGGAAGATGAGTAACTTACACCATTTGATTTCACAGGGTGTGAAAAGGATTGAAGAGC